TTATAAAAGCTTAACTACTTTATTCATTTGTTATACATTAAAATATTTTCTGATTTTTACTAAATGCGTAATCATTATCAGGATTACTAAATGTATTAAGAATTTCCATACATGCTTGTGCAGTGTGAATGCATGTTTGTGTAATGAACTTGATTTTCATGAGGAAAAAGAAATACAATCTCCGAATATACTTTTTTGTTTTCCAGTTCCTGTGTTTAGCTGTAAAAGTAAATACTTCAAGTATGAGCCGAGGGTTTAGTGTTTCAAGAGGTACTGTATCGAAGATTTATTCCGCATTTGAAAAGCGGAAAACATCATCTGCTAAAGCACAGCGCGGACGAAAGTGTGTCCTGAGTGATCGTGACAGACGATCATTAAGGGCAATTGTGACGAAAAATAAGAAGACCACAGCTTCAAAAGTTACTGCTGAAATGAATGTTGTGTTACCAACCCCTGTGAGTACCAAAACAATTAGAAGGGAGCTTCATAACAGGGAATTGCTGGCCGTGCTGCAATTGAGAAGCCACTCATCAGTGACGCTAATGCCCGTAACAGGAAAAGGTGGTGTTTAAGTCATAAAGCCTGGACTATAGAGCAGTGGAAGCGAGTAATATGGTCTGACGAGTCTTCTTTCACATTGTTTCCCACTTCTAGCCGAGTTTACGTCTGGAGAACGCCATCTCAAGCCTATAATACAGACTGTTGTTGCCAAGAGTGAAACATGGCGGGGGTTCTGTTCTGGTTTGGGCAGCCATATCGTGGTTCCCTGCTAGCCCCAAATGAACTGTGTCAGGGCACATGACTGCCAAGACTTATGTGAACATTTTGGCCGATCAAGTTCATCCCATGGTACAACTTTTGTTCCCCGATGGTGATGGTGTCTTCCAAGACGACAAAGACCCTGTTCCACAGCTCACATTGTCCAGGACTGGTTTCTGAGCACAGGATGAGTTGTCCCATCTCCCCTGGCCACCACAGTCACCAGACCTGAATATTATCGAACCTTTGTGGTCTTAGGTTAGCTCCTTTAATGGAAAAAGAACAAAATAAAAATATATACAGTCAAAGTCTTAATCCGGACTCGTCGGGACTTCGGCGATTCCGGATTATCGATTTTTCCGGATTATAGATCATCAGTTTTAAATCTCGTAAGATGGCATGCAGAAATTCTAAAATTAAAAATATGAAACCGTAATTTATGAAATAAAGACAATTATGATCTAAAGGTATCAAATTTTCAAAAAGAAAAAGCTTAATATTTATTTGTTTACTTATTAAACATTCTTTCAATGTAAGTTGTTTAAGTATTGCTTCGTTTCAGATGATATACTTTCTCTTTAATTCTATTAAACAGACATAATTTCTTGTTCAGTTACAAAGTACCGCTGTTCAAGTCCTATAATTGCTGTGTCTAGAACACCGATTAATTTGTCAATCGAAATTTTTCGTTTTCAATAACCTCTGTTACTGTTCTTCGACTATCGGAAGCGAATTATAATGACGAGGAACTTGTTTTAAATCATATCAAAGACGGAGCATGCATCGAAGATGAAATACTACATTTAGTTAGCAATTATAAGCCAAATAAAATAAAAACATCTGCGCTTGAAGATAAGGATAGTGATGAGAGATCAACTTCCAAATCATTACGTGCCCGCCGAGGCGATTCCCCCCGCCGAACTGCGTGAAATTGATAAACAGATTTCGGATTTCGAAACATACATTCGCTTTAGATCCTTTACATATTAACAATATAATCGGAAATTCTATTTGATATAATCGAAAGTTTAAGCTACTTTTATAAAATTGCTCTTACAGTCTGCAAAAAATAATAAGCCGGATGCAATTCGAAAATTAAGGAACCACGCAATCATCAACATTAACTGAAATAGATAATTAGATAATTTTAGCTTATACGTCCATTATACATAAAACGCGCACGCGAAAACGTATTCTGCACTTGCGCACACTCATATGCGCAGTCGTAAGATGATCCAAATGCAATACTATCCAAGATTATACCCAATCTTAAAACCCGGAAAACAAGCAACAGATTTAGAAGCTTACCGTCCAATCAGTCTGCTATCCTCTCTTAGCACACTCTTCGAGGCCACCATACTGCAAAGGATAAACAACCACCTGGAAAATAACGGCATTCTCATCCCAAGCCAGTTCGGGTTTAGGAAGGGACTTGGTACAACCAACCAGCTCTACAGGGTTGTGGAGATGATTTCTGAAGGTCTAACAACCAACAAAGTGACTGGACGACTGTGTATTGACATAGCTAAAGCCTTCGACAGAGTTTGGCTGGAAGCACTCGTTTACAAAATACACAATCTGGGATTTCCAGGTTACATCACAAACATCACAAAGTCCTACCTAACAGGTAGAAATTTTGTCGTTCACGTCTCTGGTACAAATTCCACCAAGCATCTCATTATGGCCGGGGTCCCCCAGGGGTCCCTATTAGGGCCCATCTGTAAGGATCTTAAGTTTTACTAACGTTTATTTTATTTTAAATCTTTACTATCACTTCTTATTTTCTATTTCCGGCCAGAATTAAAAGCTTTAACTTATTTATGCAAATTTGTCTGGCGAACGCCAAGTACTTAAGTTGTGGCTTTTTGCCAAGCAAGAGAGAGAAGGAGTTAGTAGAAGCAGGCCGCTTGCCTTAGCAGTTTTTACTCGGTTGCTGGTTGCCTTCCAGGCCAGAGGTGTAATTCTCTTGATAATTTTAAACGTATTGTAGTGTTAACAGTTCTCTGTACTACATACGGCTTCCTGTTAATATACGGCCAATCTTCCACGTAGGCCCTTGTTTATTATTCCAAAGTTAAGTTAGAGTTTAGTTAATATTTTTATATTCTTACGTTCAGACCACAAGTGGTTAGTCTCTGTATTCCGAAGTCCGGAAATTATTGTAAAGAGTGAAAAATAAAGGGTTTCGTATACCCTTCCTGTGTATCTTGTCTACTTCCCACATTTATTGAACATAGCTTTAGTAAGCTCCCTGTTCCGAGTCAGGTCTTTGCATGTTCCCGAAGCAAGTAAGGCGGAACACTGAACCTGATACATCTACTTCAACATCTACGTGAACGACATCCCTACAACACACAACACAACACTGGCTATGTATGCAGATGACACAGCAATCCTCACACAAAGTGCATTTGCTGGTTCAGCTATCCAACAACTACAAAATTACATACAAGCATTAGAGGCTTGGCTAGTGCAATGGAAAATGCAAGTAAACATCAATAAGACGCAGACTATACTCGTCGCCAGGAAGCAAAAATTCAAAAAGAACCGACTGCTCTATGGAAACTCAATTCCCTGGGCCAAGCAAGTCCCTTACAAGCTTAAGGCAACGTATCTTTTGTTGGGCAGTTGTTTGTTTTGCTGACGCTTGTGATCGAGGGTAAGGTTCCTTATAGTTCTGCCGTCTAGCGGTCGTCACAGTATTTCTGTCGTTCTCTATTCTATTGGTAGTTTCATCAATTTGTGTGTATGGTAAGTTTCGAGAAGAGGGATGTGTATTGCAATGACATTAAAGTGTAAAATATGACGTTGTTTTCGTAGCTAATTAAAATTCTGAAATTATGCATTAGTGAAGAACGGCGTAGAAAGAAATGCAATAATTCTCGCATCAGTAAACGGAAAGGATTTATATGTTTATGCTTGTATATTCAAGTAATCCCAATCATTAACTAGTGCTAGTATTTCTTTAAAAAGGAATTATCTTTTACGCATACACGTAAGATAATAACTCTTGAACAGAGCTCAGATCGCATAAATTTACGAGTGTTAGAGAAAAAAACTCGATCAGAATGTTGGGGGTTTTAATTTTTGAATTTAATAGTTAAAAATACTTTACTTCTTTGCGTACCACCTATTTTTCTCTTGTGTACCACCAGTTGAGAACCCCTGCTCTAAGATATAACTGGAAGAATGTCAACATCAATGCAAGTGAGGAAGCTTGTATGTATCTCTGGCGGGAACATGCCGCAACTGAGCAATGATTTACACATTAAATGTGAATGTCTCGACGATAAAAGAATAAAATGAGTTGATTAGGACAGTATCTCCATACTAAATGATTAATGTTATACATATGCACAAGCAAGTAAATATATATTATATATTGTGATTCTTGAAAGTTATCGACTTAAAGAAATATGCATAACAACATAGATGAGAAGCATCATGAATGTGATAAATGTAAGAAGTCATTTTCACGGAAAAGTCATTTAAAGCAACATGTGCTTATCCATAACTGTCAGAAACTATATACATGTGATATATGTAGCAAGTCATTTGGACTGAAAGTTTATTTATCAAAACACATGGTTGTTCACACTGGTGAAAAACCACATGCCTGTAGTATATGTGGTTGGTTATCTGCACGAAAAGATCACATAAAGCGCCACATACTTAGTCATACTGGTGAAAAGCCATATGTATGTGATATATGTAAGAAATCATTTACATCAAAAAGTAATTTAACAAAACACGTGTTTACCCATAGTGGTGAAAAACCACATATATGTAGTACATGTAGTAAATCATTTGCACATAAGAGTTATTTAAAGGCCCATATGCTTGTTCATACTGTTAATAAATTACGTGAATGTGCTAAATGTGAGAAGATGTTTACACTAAAAAGTGACTTAGAGGAACACATGCTTATCCATGCTGATGAAAAACCACATGCATGTGCTAAATGTGAAAAATCATTTGCTCTGAAAGAAGACTTAAAGGAGCACATGTTTTCCCACACTGGCAAGAAACCTTATAAATGTCATACATGTGGCAAGTCATATATACAGATTTCCCATTTGAAAACACATTTGCTGAGCCATACTGGTGAGAAACCATTTGCATGTGATATGTGTAGGAAGTCATTTACTGTGAAAAGTAATTTAATGAGTCATGTATTAATCCATACTGGTGAAAAACCACATGAATGTAATATATGTAAGAAGTCATTTACACATAAACACCACTTAAAGAAACACATGTTGAGTCATACTGGTAGAAAACTACATGAATGTGATATATGTAAAGAGTCATTTATACAGAAGCATCTTTTAAAGAAGCATATGTTGATCCATACTGTTGAGAAAACCAGTGATTAATATGAATTGGAATATGGCTTTGATATTTTTCAATTCATAATGGACATTATAAAACATAATCTTTCTAAGGAATAAACCAGAAAATAGCATTTGCTTCTCTTCCTTTTTTTACACTTTCAGCATTCTGTTTTATAAAGAAGTTTGTCATTTTTTTAAATTTCTAGTAATAAACAAGTGAAATTAATTTAAATAAGTTGTTGAAGGTGGATAAGAATTTACAGTAGCTAAAGTCACTGCAGTTGAAAAAAGTTTTTATTCAATGACTATCACGTATAATTAAATTATAAAACATTCAATTATTTTTAAGTCCTACAGCTAATACGTGTACAAAGTCCATCAAGATGAACTATCAACTTCTAAATCTGCATCTATTTATAAGTAAGGAACTTTAGCTTACATGAAATGCATTGTTTTGGCAATATAGTAATTGTATATGAAATTAAATACTAAAAAGGGAAGTTGTTTTGTTATATAATTTTTATATCTGAATAACAAAAAACATCATTTTAAATTTTTAGAAAAGTGCTTATCTTGATCAAATCAAATTTTAAAAGAATATGTATAGTTTTGTAGGAAAACTATGTACATTTATGATACATATTTGAAAAAAAGCCATGTAATATTTGAGTCACAGTTTCAAATCATCTTGCTTTTTATATCTGTTTGTTCCACTAAATTCCAAATACCATGATAATGAAATTTTGTATCAGCAAATATTTATATAACTTTGAAGAATATAACATTAAAGTATCATAATTTATTTTTCAGAAACAAAGGTTTATCAGAAATATTAAGTTCTTTATTAATGTATTTTGAAGCTTAAAATTTATTTCAGAATTTCTGTTTTCTTGGCTAACATTGCTTAATATTTCTAAAGAAAAAAAAATCAAAATATATGTAGAGGATAAATGTACAGGGCTGATATACAGAAATAATTATGCATTAGAAATATTGTTTTTCTGACTTTAACAAATCTTGCAACTGAGATATGTTATTGCACAAAATTTTTTAATAGAAAAAGTAGTTTTTTTTTTTTTTTTTTTTTAACAACAATCATGATTAATAATAAGATTACTTATGAATTCAGTCTGTTAAATAAGAAAGGAATACTATTCAATATTTTAATGAAAAATAGCCTTAAAATTATAGTGAAGTTCATGAAGCATATTGAAGGTATATATTATTATTAACAGTTAAGTGAAATTTTTCGCTTTATATTCTACATGTAAATTTATGGTAGGTATTTTTTATTAGACTTATCTGTAGTTAATCTTAGATTAATGATAAAAGGAATATCCTTAAATATTTGAATATAATGTAGACTGTTATTACATTAAAAGAAATAAAATCAAATGTAATCTGCTATTTCCTTAATATTATTTGCATTATAATTTTTTCCCGTAAACTTATTAATTTATTTGATGAAGTATTTTCCAGAAAAACTCAAAGTTCTCAAAATATCCATATAAATAAGGCATATTTTCTTGATTATAATTTCAAATATTACTTCTGTATTAATGCAACCTTTGTACAGATATTTAGAAGCAGTAAATTACAAATTTGATAATTTACTAATTTTCATGATTAATCACATGTGGGCATTTTAAGGAGGAAGTACTTTACAGAATACTGAACTGCTTTTCATAGGATCAAGAAAAGTAATATCAAATCCAAATTTTAAGGTGCGAAAAGGGTAGTTTCTTAAAGTTTTATTTTTTAAATATTTAGTTTCAATAAGGGACTTTGAAATTATTTAACTGTAATATTTTCATATCTAATAATTTATGCGCACTAATTTTTAAAAGATAAGTGGCCAGAAATCAAAGCCAATAAAGTTGCGTACAATGCGAAGGAGGCGGGGGATTTCTTATCTAACTTTTAAACTTCAAACTTGAGAATGCAAAGAAGGTTACACTTTCAAGGTCATTGATTTCTGAAGCAAATTTCACGTTGATTGGAAGTTGTTATTTCTATTTTCTTTGACGAAAATGACAACCAATAAAGAAATTCCTTTAGTTACACGAGACAACTAACTATCAAATTGAGAGATGAAGGTAAAACTCTTCGTTATATTGGTAAAACCATTTTCTAGTGAGCAAAGAGTTATTCAAAACTATCTTGACACTGGTAGTCTTGCTGTAAAACAAAGATGTGGGAGACCGAAGAAACTAACGCAGGGAGAAGAAGGAAAAATTCTTTTACGAATTAAACAAAATCCTAAACTTTCTGCTGCAAGCATTACAAAAGATATTTTTTTAACTACTAATATTTTTTTAGCAACAAGGAAATTTCTCCTGAAACTGTACGAAAAGTGCTGCAAAAGGCCGATTTTCATGAACGCAAACCTAGGTCTAAGCCATACATTTCCGAGACAAATAAAAAGAAAAGAATTGCTTTTGACAAAACATATTTAAACTCTTCGCAGGACTTCTGGAACAATGTAATTTGGTCAGATGAAAGTAAATTTACAATATTTAAAGTTAATGGCCACCCTATTGTATGGAGAAAGCCAGGAACAGAACTGAATCTGAGAAATTTAAATCCAACTGTCAAACATGGAGTTGTCTGTGGGATGGTATGGGGGTGTATGTCGTTGAAAGGAGTTGGAAATTTTCACATTATTGATAAAGTCATGGATAAGTATGTTTATCTGGATATTCTGAAGAAAAATCTACGAGACAGTGCCCGAAATTTAAACCCTTTCTAATACCTTTATTTTCCATCAAACAATGACCCGAAACATACAGCTAAAGTGAAGGAATATCTCCTCTATCACACTCCAAAACAGTTGCGTTCTCTTCCACAGTCACCGGCCTCATCCAATCGACATTTGTGGGCAAAATTGGAGAACAAATTCGAAAACACAATATTACGACGCGAAATGAGCTAATTAGTAAATTGCAGGAAGACTGGGCGAAATTTAAGTCGGATGACACTGAAAAACTAGTTCAGTCAATGTCCAGACATCTGCAAGCTGTTTTGAAGAATAAAGGATATCCTACAAAGTACTGAAGTAATGTAAAAAACTTATATTTTGCTTTTTTTAAAAGTGTACGCAGACTTATTGGAGGGAATTTGAGTTTTTTTGACAAAATATATTTTTGAAAAAATGTAAAACGTATTACACTATTATTTACTTTTAATTTAAGCTTACAATTTTAGCTAATAGAAGAAAAAAATGCAATGATTAAAATACATTTTTCTATGCTTTAAGTGTTTTTTTAAATTTAAAATTTAGTCTGTACGCAGACGTTTGTGACTAACTGTATGTATTTGCTTAAAGATTCTGGGTTCAATATCTGATGTTACAGAAGATCAAAAATTTATCAACACTTGAAATACACATAACTCTTCAAATGTTACTAGTGAAATCCAAATGCCATATTTGAAAATTATTAGTGGCAGGTTTCCTCATTCACTTTGAAGCAGAGTAGCAAATTCTTTTAATTTTTGTTTTATAATTGTTGCTAAATAAAATGTTGGCTTAACAAGTTAAACTTTTATTTATTTTATAAAATTTTGGCTTAACAAGTTAAACTTTTATTTATACCTGAAGATTAACTCTGTACTGCTTTAACTAAACAAGTTTGCAGTAATTGGAATTGTGGTAATCTGATTGCAGTTATTTGTTAATTAGTAGTTCAGTCATTTTGGTTGCAGCTAAAAGATGAAAAATGTAGTATAAAAATTTTTTCAAGGAAATGAGTTATCATACTGAAAGGCTTTGTTCAAGTCACCACAATTATATTTTCGAGCTACGCTGCATTCCCCCTTTTTTTTCTTTCCTATTATAACTTTGTTATATTTTACATCATCATTAAATGTTTGTCACTGTCAGAAAAGTGTTGGATATTTAATTTTTATTATAACTACACTTAAGAATAGTACTGTTTTCACATCAGGATTGCAACTCTCCAATTTCTGACCATTCGCCCAGCAATCCGATTTTTAACATATTTCTCGTGACTTTCTCTTATTCTGAATATTTTGTTATTTGTACCCCAAAAAGTGATTTTTGGCATGTGAAAGTGCTCATTTTTTTCCTAGATCATATAAAAAAAACCGAAATTGTTTCGTCATTGAGATATGGCACGTTTCTGCTTTGTGTATGACAGTCTGAGACACGTCTCCAAAATCGCTGTGTTCCAGTTCTTGAATAATAATCAAGAGCCACTGTGGATCGTCTGTCATATATTAAATAATGAGTACAAAGCAAAATTGAGGCTGTTTATTTCATTCATCTTGCCAGTGAACAGAGCTTCATGTGCTTCCTTTAAACAGTTTAAGAAACTGCGATATTTTGTCGATTTGGCACAGTGGAAGAGCTGATTTTCTTAAACATGTGCGTACAGAAGAACAATGTGAGTTGAAATGGAAAAAAAATTCAATTTTTCTGTGGAAACGAAGGACCAAAAAGTTAATGCAGAATGCCTGTGCTCTGCCTTTTTATTGGAGCACAACCAGCCACTGAATGCATTTAGAATAATGTTTCCCAGCAGTAAAATTGCTAAGAAATACTCAAGTGCAAGGACAAAAACGACTGCAATTGTAGAAGAAATGGTTTCAAGAAAGAAAAATTAATTTTGTTATTTATTGCATTAAAAAGTTCCATTTTGCATGTGTACGAATGGAAGCAATGACACAGATGCAAAATTGTATCCAGGTGTTTCTTTTTTTTTAAATTCAGATTCTTCAGAAATTTTACTTTCTACCCCCTTTAGAAGAGATTTGACAGGCTTTAATAATAGCACAGCTAATTATTAAAACTTTAAAAGAAAATGAAATTTAGGGTAATTGCTTACCGCATAGTGCCATACTACCAAGAATTGTAGGTTTGAAGATTGTAAATTTTGAAATGCATCTGTTAGCTCTTAAATTTAGCCATTAAAAAGGGTCTTTAAATTTAGCCGTTAAAAGATTTCTTTACGAATAAGTGTAGTTAAACTCATTACTGATATTTGGGTACAACTCTGATAAACGCCCTAATTTCACCAAATGTG